AATTATAGAAGTATATATAGTAATCTTATAGCGGAATTCTAATTTCTATTAAGAGTCGGGAATATTATAATAATTAATAAAGTAGGTAAAAGCCACCTTAAAATCCTTAAAATAGTCGATAGTATGTATAATTAACTATTTGTACTCTTTATAAAATTTTTCGTCCGTATTAAAATTATAATAATTCAATTACAAATAATTAATTAATTCTTTAATAGTTTTAAGGCGTAACTTATTAACGTCGGGACGAATAGAAAGATAAAAATATTTAAACGCTTATCCCGTCAACTTCGAAATAACGTTGCTGAAAACGGCTTTATTATTTATAAAATAATCCGCGTTAGCGTAGAAGCGATAGGTCATTTAAAAATACTATATATTGAAATCCAATTTATTTCTATTTTTATTAAAAAAGGTAAGAATATTTACCTTCGCGGTTTTACTTTTACGAAATCTACTTTTAAAAGAAAATATATTAGAAGGGGTATTATTTTTACCGTATTTATTTTAATTACTGTAATTATTAATATAGAAAATAGAGGGAAGATTATGAGGATGGTTATAGTCGTCGTTGTTATTATCGTCGTTATTGTCTAGATTATAATGTAACGGATTAATAACCTTTAACTCTTCGGGAATTATACCTATTAGGGTAATTAAACGAATTAAATTAGCGACTTACGCTTTAAAGTGGGTAATTTTAATATTGTATTAAATATTAATTTAATTAATTTCGGCCTTATAATCTTTATTAATAAATTCAATTTAAATGTTATAACGTTTCTCTATTAAGGCTAAAATAAATTTAATATATTCGGTAATAAAGTTAATAACTTCTTTAAAAAACTTATTAACGTTTCAATAATCGTAATAGAATTTATTATAAATTTTATAGAAATAATAGACCTCTTACTTAAATAGCTTCTTATTACCTTTAATTATAATTAATTATTATTTAAATTCGAATATTTAATTTAAATTTATTAGTTCAGCTTCGTTTTAGCTAATTCTAAAGCGGGTATCGACGTTTACTTAATATTCTTTAACTTTCTAAATAAAATATATAATCTATTTATTTATTTTAAATATAATATTATAGGTATAATATAATATTTAAGCGACTTCTTTAATAATATTAATAAAAGCTTCCAAGGTATATATTCTAGTACTAAATTTAATTTATATAGTATTAAAATTTTAACCTAAGAAGGTAAAAAATTATTAGAAAATTAAGGGACTATTTTAATTTTTAATAGCGAACGATAGTTAGCCGTCCTAAATAATTATTTTAAAATTAATAATACGATTACCCTAAGCGTCTCTATTCTTATTATCTAATATATTAATATAGTTAGTATTGTTTTTAATAATTTTGTTTACTTATAAAATATAGTAGCGGTTATTAATTAACGTGTATAGTTTATTTATCTAAAAAATTAAATTATTAATTAAATTATCCTAAGGGACCGGCTTTTTAAAGAGGTCAGTTATAATAGGGGAATAGGGTTTGGTAAATAGGTCTACTATTTAATTATTCAATTTCCTAGTATTAATAAAGATACGGCGGATTTAGGAATTACTAGTAGTAAAATTATCGCAGCGGGAATCCGATAAATTGTTAAAATAATTATAATTTAAGTAAATATAATAATAAAGGACATTATAATTAGTTTACTACTTATAGGGTAGGACGTATTTACGGACTATAGTTAGACTTGGGAAGCCTTTAATAAGGGACTCCTTGTAAACCTATTATTATTATTTACGTAGGAATTTATATTAAGGGTTAAAGGGAGAATTCGTTTTAAAAATGTATTTATTATATAGGAAATTATGTTTTAAATTGGTAGCGAATTTTCGTAGGTTTTTAAATTTAAGGTTGTAAACGATTTAAAATTTTTAAATAATGTAGGCTAAAGTAGAAGTACTAACTTTTATTTCTATAATAGTACGGAAAGAATTATTATTACTTTCGTAGTTAAGGTTTTCCTTTTTATTATCTTCTTATTTATAGGAAAATTCATCATCTTTAAAACGATTGTTATCGTCGTAATTAGCGGTATAAGTATTGTATTTAGAATTATAAAGATATTTGGTATTGGGGACGAAAGAACGGCCTAATAGCGCTCCCTAAGCGTAATTAACTATAATAATTAATTCTTATCGTAATTAATAATCGGGTTTAAAATTTGCGATATCGGTAAAGTAATAAAATTCAGGGTTTAAAAAGTCGATGAAGTGACTTATTGGTTTCTCAGGTTCTTAGGTTCGATGGGGATTTTAGTTACCTTCCTAAATAGATGTAATTAATTTTAATTAAATATTAAGCTGAAATACAGGCGCGTATAACTATAGTATGACGAATATATATAAAATAATAAAATAATTAAAGTTAAAGAATGAAAGACGGAGAGGTTGAGAGTTAGGCTCGGTTGTGTACCCTTATATAGGATGAGCCTAGATTTTGCTAGCTTCGACCGCCTTCCTTATTTAATTTAATAATATATGTGAATGCGATATGTAGGTCGCGGTGCTAATTGAATGGGCGCGTATGTCAATGCCATTAGTACAGCCAATTAAGGGGCGTATATCCTTGAGAGGGTGGGTCTTGTCTTGGGACGAGTGGGGTCATAGTACCCATGTCCAGGGTCGCGGGACCCATGTCGTTATAAAAATTATATTCGAAAAGCGCAACCCTTACGATTTTCTATCGTTTTTTTTTTTTAAATAATTAAAGACGTACTTTATAATAATACGAATACGAGTATAGCGTAAATTATATTGCTCTTTCGGGTCTTTTAGCTATATATTTATATTCTTTTAATCTTAAAGATAGTATTTAATATTTAAAAAATGAATTACGGTCTTTTGTTATACGCTAAACTTTGTATTTATTATATAATACTAATTTCGAAGGATGCGAAACGAATGCGAGAAAACTTAATCATAAAGTGAGGTATTATTTATCAACCCCTTTACTCCTGCCAATACGTATATAAAAGAGTAATCGAATTTAACGGTAGCGAATACGTTCTAGGTTATTTAACCCTTTCGGTTATATTACCTTAATTAATTATTTCCTTTAATAAATATAGTAACATAAGTGCCGTCGATCGTACTAATATAATTGTTAAAGGTATTTAAGTTAGAATTTAATTCGATATTAGAATTTAGGTAATTATTTGGTGGCAATTATATATACGTAGTGTATAACTGTTTAAATTGAAGGAGTATATCGTTTATAATAGCGGATACTGTATTTTAACTAATTTGGAAATAGTACGAGGTAGTTTGTTAGTTTTAATAATGTACTAGTATATATAGAAAGATTATAACTTTCTAATATAGTATTTAATATCGATTAATTACCAGATTAATATTATTTTGAAGCTATTGTACTAGTATATCGAAAGTACGTTGATCTATTCAAAAGAATTGCTAGAATTGTATTAGCGAACTATAGTAGATCTTATTAATTAACCGTCTAGTATAGTCTATACTATAATATATAGCTTTGGGAGCTTTTCTCTTCTTATTGTAAAAGATAATGTAGATAGCAATTATTATTATAAATACGAATATAGTTCGGTTAATATAACTCGGATTTATATCGACTAATATTGACGAATACGAATATATAGCGGTTATAGTATATTAAAGTTTCGATAATTAAAAACACAAAGTTCGAATACGGTTTAACCAATATAACGTTTATTAATATTGTAACCCTACTTATATTATATATTTGGCTAGGCTTAGTACCCGAAACGCCTAAAAACTTGTAAAAATACTCAAATTTACTTAAACGTTTGGGTCTCATCTACTTTTAGGATTCTGGCAGAAAACCGGTCAAAAATACTAAAATTCTAGGGGATTCTAGCGATCTTTGGCCATTTCAGGAAGGTGATATAGCCCGCATTAGCGTATACCTCTTTTAAATACCCTGGTTCAAGTTTGAGCAGTTTCTTCGAGTTTCTTGGTACCTAGACTGGTTAGTCTAGAAAAAAAATCGAGCTTGGCACCAAAACCCCCTGTCTCCCTCAAACTTTTTACAGAAAAAGTTTGAGCCGATCAGGGCCTTAACGCCGACATATCCATACACCTAACCTCGAGGTATCTCAAAACACGTAATAACAAGAGTTGGTAATGTATCTTTACCATCCACTAACAGTCCAAGCTGTCACTGGACCCTGAATCCCTCCCAACTGCAGATAATAGCCGCGCGTTGTCATTGTAAACTTCGGTTTCCCTGTGATCCCCTGACCCTCGTTACCCCCCTCAACCCCCGTCTGCAGGCTTTCGTCTCTCTCTGTTGGTCGCAACAATCCCCGGCCTTGTCTTACTCACCTGCCTGGCTGGGAACCCAGCAGTTGCATCTGCTTCGATAGTTCACCACCATTTTCATTGAGTTGCGATATAAGTTTAAGACGACACCGACTTGTCTCTCCGCCGCGCGGCCGCCCCGTTACCCAGACACGAGACACACATTACCGCGGAGTTAGACAACCTTCAACTACAATCGCCCTTACTCGATACCCAAGGCCCCGCCCTAGCTTGGGCGCGATTACGACAAGCAAGATGAAGAACTTCAGCATGAACAAGGTGCTGAGCAGCATCAAGAAGAAGCCAACATTCTCAAATGGTAAGCGCTGGTCAGATTGCGCTCTCTGCGCTAACGTCTTGGTGATCGCGGTCGTTTTGCGACCATCACTGCGGGAGCAAAATCGACCTGACTTTCCCCTTTACCTTACGTTCTGAAGCTTATCTCCCTTTATAGCAGGAAGCGGAAGTGGAAGTGGGAGTGGAAACGGAAATGGCGACGACGCGACACCCGATCCGACTGGTGATGGCCCTGAGGCGACGGCAGCCCGTTGTGTGGTAGGCTGCTCCATCATCCCATGAAACACGCCTGCCTTCCAGAAAGCTCAAGCCGCTGACTTGGGTCGTTTACCTTGATAGAAACAATTCTGCACGTCCGATAGCGGTAATTCGGTACGTTTGTTCTAGTCGCACTGTCAGTCGCAAATCCAACAGCATGTCCGGGTGGGGAGAGATGACCAGGAGCTCCGAGAGCTACAGATCCGATCTACCCCCGGCCCCGGCTCCTACACGCACACATACAGCCGCACATGTCAAGGGTCAACATCTAATATGAAGCAGGGTGATGAAGTCGCTTTTCTACCATCGATCGTCGAAGCGGCCGAGTCGTCGCCGGCCGCCGCCGCAGAATGCGCCCGCTTGATCCGGAAATACCTACAACGCGACTACTGGTCTAAACCCTCATTGCAATACAACGCCATCATGCTCATACGAATCCTTGCCGACAATCCGGGTGCGACCTTCACGCGAAACATGGATAAGAAGTTTGTCGATACCACCAAGGAGCTGCTCAGGTCGGGGAAGGACGGCAATGTTCGGCAGATGCTCATGGAAACACTGGACGCCTTCGAAAGCACAAAGGGCTACGATGAGAATCTGCAACTGCTTATCGAGATGTGGAAAAAGGAGAAGGAAAAGGCATACAGGGTCTACGGCGTAAGTGTCCCCCATTCACGGACACTCGGTAGCAGGCACAAAGTGATACCAAGCACATGCACTAACACAAACCACGCCCTCTCAGCACCGCTTTTCCTCCCCCCCACCCCAACAGTACAGCCCCTACCTATCACACCAGCAGTCACTTCCAAACCAGCAGGAATACTTCCAACGCACTCACCACACCCCGCGACTTCCGGACCCCGTCGAACTCGCCAACCGGCTCGAAGAAGCCCGCACCTCCGCCAAGCTTCTCGAGCAAGTAGTCGCCTGCACGCCTCCTCAAGAAATCCTTTCCAACGACCTGATCAAGGAGTTCGCGGACCGATGCACGAGCGCCTCGCGCAGCATCCAGGAGTACATGTCCGCGACGGACCCTGCGCCCGACAACGACACGATGGAGAGCCTGATCGACACCAACGAGCAGCTGCAGCAGTCGCTCAACCACCACCAGCGCGCGGTGCTCAACGCCAAGAAGCAGCTAGGCATAGGCTCCCCCGGCTCCGAGAGCGTAAGCAGACCGGGCTCGGTGGCGCCGGGAGTGAACGAGCAGAGCCGGCCTCCTCCGGCGGTGGCGGGCACGAGTTATAATAGTAGGAACGAAGGCGTCCAGGACTGGTTGGCAAGTAGTAGCGCGGCTGCTGCAGGCGGAAGCGGAAGTGGCCAGGGCGCTTCTGGCGCCGGCGCCAGCAGCAGCAGTAGGGGGAAAGGCAAGGCGGTAGCTACCTCGTCTGATGATAACTGGGGTTTGAGCGACTACAAGTACGAGCCCATTTCTGCGTCCGGAGCTGCCGCTGGGCCTTCGAGATCGCACACGGGAACGCCGTATCGCGACGAGGAGGACCCGTTCAGGGACCCGTTCCAGCCTGATTCCTCGGCGTCTTCGATGCGGCGAGTAGTCCAACCGTCGACGTTGAACACGACGAATGTGGGAAACAATGACGAGAGGTTGTCGTTTGAGCCATACCACCCTGGATTTGGTGGCGGTAGCAACAACAACAACAACTTGAATAGCACGAGCGCCGGGAAAAGCAACAATGACAACTACAGCTATAACTCATCGTCGGCCTACGATTACAGAGGAAATGGAGGAGGTTCGGGGTCAGGCGCTGGCGCTGGCGCTGGCGCTGGGAATGCAAGCAATTCGATACCAGAACCTGTCACGCCGGTTAGTGACGATGGGTTGTACGGTAGTGGAGATGTGCATCGCTCGACTGGGGTCCAGAGATGATGTGTTCAACGGTACCAGGGCTGCTGGCGAATAAATAGATGATGATAGCTACCCTTTCCTCTGCCCGTCGTCATCGATAGGCTGGGATCTTGGGGGAAAAAGCTAGGACAAGTTGGGAACAGGACGCGGCTCTGGGAGGAGAGCACCGGACGGAACGAGGGAACGTGGTGACGAGCTGGGTTAGGTCGTTCTTATTATTCAGATCTCTTCGATCAACCAATCCTTACGAGGATATTGCGCTCTCCATCTATCGCTACATCTACACCCCTTATATTGTCGACTTATACCCATTTTCCTGTCTTGCTCCGTCCTGTCGATCTGGTTTCATCTTCTGCCAAGAATTGCCTGCCTATTGGAACCCGAGCGCAAGTTTCAGATCAACGGCCTCGATCCTCCCGGGTCTTGAACCCTGATACTTGGGAAGAACTGATTTGTGTCGAATGTTTGCTGGGTCCACGACAGCATGACGCCTGAAGCTGTCCATTCTGCTGCGGGCCAGCATGAATTAAAGCAGCAGGAGCGCTGGGATTTGTGGACGAGTTGAGAGCAACCCAACGTTGCTGTTCTTGCATGAACGCATCGTGTTTGTCCGTTGGGCTGTCGATAAAGTTGCCGAATGGCCGAGCGAGGACGAGATCCCCTTTTCTCGGCGCATTTGTGGTACATAAGGAGGGGAATTCGATGTCCGAATCTGGTCGGTATACTCTCGTGTGGTGACACGAGCTCGCTTCTAAGCGAGGATATGGCACGAGAATACTCTTGTTGGCTTTCCTTGGCTCTTTCAGTCTCCCATTTTTCTTTTCCTAGAGTCGTTTTTGATCGACCTCGTCCTCTACCCTCTGACTTTTGCTCTTGTATTTGCAGGCAGACGGAGGAAGCAACACGTCACATCAAGTGGCCTCGTTGACCACTCGTCCCTTCTCATCACACGTACCTGGTCCGATTATGTACCGCTAATTCTCATTCAAATCGGATTTATTCCCCACACTATACTAGCCAATTACATCTGGAGAGAGGCCTTCACGGCGACGCCTCAACGGGGCATGCAGACCTCAGCAAACCACATAACTGGCCTGGACAGGAGGGGATAAATTCTATTTGAATGAGAATTAGCTACATGAGTCAGTCGATAAAAGGAATCCGGTGATACCACAACACCCCTAGTTTGCTTGTTAGCGCTCGGTTTTTGAGATTTACCTCCATACCCTGTCCTAGCAAGGAGCTGTTTGCCTTGTACAGGTACGAATGTAGATGAAAGTCAGATTCGGCTGCGTTCAAGGCGCGGCATTCGAACTACCACCCAGGGATTGGGCATGTGCAATGCGATCATCCGCTGTCCTCATCCTATCCTCACGGCGTTCCTTTTCCATGTCAAGCGCATCCCATTTCGGCACATCTCCCCTGTCGACATGTCCCAAAGCCCCGTAACTTTATCTTTGCTTCTGCGCCACTGCATTTGTGCTTGGTGACTTGAAGTCGTCCTCAATTCTTGTCCTCCCATACGAAGTATCGTCTAATTGCCGTAGTAGTGTCGTTTGGGAGGCCCGCAGAAGCTGAGCCATTTGGCAGAACGGCAGAAACCCCGAGGATCAACAACTTGGGCGCAGACGAAGCAAGGAGATACTGAGACACTGCACACCACTGCGAACCACAGAAGACGGCCTTTTCCTTGTCCGGTCAACGTTGTCGGGTACCACGTCCACATGCTTCTTTCACCAGCTCTCTGAACTAGCGGAGAGAGGACTACGGAAGTGATGTGAAACTGTGATGAAGTCTCTGAAGAGCTCTCGTCGACCAATGATTCAGCTTGGTGGGGGGGCTGGATGAAGGAGTGTGGTGAAGATACTCCACTGTACATGAGTGTCCTGAGTGTCTACCTACCTGTCGATCGAATCGATCTTGGTATCCTAGCCCCGATCCCCATGATCCAGAGAGTTCTTCGAAAATCGGACGAACCACGAGCGCCTCCGCCAAAGCAATAGCGTCGTGCTAGGTCAAATTGAGTGATAACCAAAGGATCGTGGCTTTGCAGTAGTCGAAGGGGTCATCTCGCCAAAGGTCCCGATGCAAGTCGCATGTCTCATGGATCAAACAATCCGGTTCTTCTCCGCATATGCTTTTTGTCGCTCCACAAGAATTCGATGTTTGGCGACACCTGCCAACACGGCACATTTGAGCAACGTGATAAGTTGTGCCCAGCAAGTCAGCAACCAGCGAGACAGCAGGTTACCCCTCGGGGCTATGGTAGCTCGCCAGTTGTCTTTGGGGAGTGCTTCGTCCCGGATTCTCAGCCGCGCGAATCCATCCGCCAGGCGACACGTATGTAAATTGACGATTCCCGCAAAACGCCACGATACTGGGCGCCGAGCAAAGAGGCTTGTCCTGTCATGACTGGGCTCGTAAGTCTGGAGGACCGCTTCCGAGACATGTAGGAATGCCTTGACATGCAGATTGCTAGATGCTGTGACTAGCTTCTTAACAGAGGTGGTCGGGTTTTGTGCTCTTGGATCTTTCGGGGTCGCTCACATATCACCAGGGTACCTGTCGCATGGTCCGTATGTGGAAAGCCGCGGTACAACCATGAGAAGGGGACCGGGGATGGTCAAGAGCTAGACCAGTCCCTCCCAAATCGTAGAGGGGCGGCCGAAGCCGGGGAACGGGAGATGTGAACTGGGGTCTCGTCCAATGTAAGCCCATCTGAGACAAGCCGTATCGTCAGGAACTGTCGGATCGGTCGGTATTGTGGGGAGACGTGAAGAGGTCGAGCTAACATCCGGTCAGGATAGAACCGACAGTCCGGGTCTAGGCTTCGATGTATCGCATCCGCAGATAACAGGTCAGCAACGTGAAGCGTATGTAGAGGAGTGATCACACCTGTAGATCCTCCTCTTCTCTTTGGCCCAGTGGAAGGAGACCGGGTAGCGAGCAGCAGCTGTGCCTGGATTGAGGTGGGTCGTGGACACGAGATAGTCGAATGACCAGACTGATGGATTCTCGTCAACTCAGGCGTTGAAGTTGCACAGAATGTGATAATATGATGGGAAGAAAGCAGAGGGACGGAAAAAGCTGATGTGACGGTCGACGAGAGGCATGCTGTCTCTCCCGAGGTGCAGTGACGTGTTGTCAGTCTGGGTTCCAACTTCCGGAAGTCACCTCATCCTGTCAAACACAAGTTTGTCACGGTACTTGCCTCCCCCCGGTCCCCCAGTCCTTCCCAATCGCCTCTAGCCGTTGTCCTCGTCCCTAACAGGCAAGCACGAGCCCTAGACCCCGACCGGCCCCTTCCCTTTCTGTCAGTGTCACTCAGTGCACGGTAACCACTGTCCGGGACTCGCCGATCACAACGTTTTGGTGGCCCATCTCTAAAATTTCATGTCACCCCAAACCAGGGGCAGCTCCGATGTCGACCACTCGCTTGACACTCCCACCTCTCACAGCCATTTCTTTTCCGCAAACATTGTGAACACACACCCAGCTTCTTCACCACCACGGTAGTCGTGTTCGAGTTACCCAAATCTGCCTAATCTCGACTTGGTACCCAAATCTCCATACGTGGCTTGGGCTAACGACAGGGTTCACAGAAAAGCGTTTGCATTGTCGATTGACATCTGCTGGGTGTTTCATGTCTTTTCTTCTTCTCCTCTCGGAAGCTGGCAGGATGGCTCAACGGTCGAAATGTATAATGTCGGGCCACCCCCGTCATACACTCGGTCTGCCGTTAGGATGAAGTCAACCAGAGCCTCTCTCGTGGACCGCTGTACATCTCTCTCTGTCTAGACGACATATGCTTCCCTACCGCTAACCGCGACTGAGGATAATCTTTCTTCTTCATCACTTCTTTTAGTTCAGTTGCCCAGATGGAGGAGCCATGCAGTACCCTCGCCTTACCTGGGCTCCCCAGTCACGTCACTTCTCTGAGGATCAATAATCTATGCACTGAGGTGCTATTGCTAATTTTTGAAGAGGTAGGTGTGCTCTCTAGCCCATGATGATTCGGCATGGTGTATACTGACTCTGACTTGGTAGCTTGATCCCCGGGACGTGGTAACAGTCTCTCGCGTCTGTCAGAGATTCAACAAGATTACGACGCCGATCATTTACCATACAGTCCCCTTAGAACGCCTCCTTGACGAAAGACATGCGAAAGATATATTGTCCCGTCGTGAGGAAAACGCGTTCACTCATACTCAACGGCTTCTCGTCGGAGGTGGCATCAAACATGACGACATCGAATATGGCGACATCAAACAGGACGACATCAAGCGTTTCCTAACCAACACAAAAAAGCTTCAGTCAGTGAAGTACACCTATTCGCCTGGTCGTGGCGTGGAACCTATGTGCCCCTGGAAACAAGTCTATGACATGGGAATCCACCTGAGGGAGGGCAACGCAAGGCTATACATTGACAACTTCACACTGACGAATCCAATCGATGAAGCTTGGAAGGCCAGAGGCTTTCCTCCGAAAGCTGACATCAGCAAATCTTTGGTTTCCCTCAGAATGGGCTCTACACAGGTGCCTCATTCTGAATCGGCTTTGCAGATTCTGAAGAAGCTTCTTCTGAGAACCCCGTTACTGGAAACATTCCACTACATTGACAGTCGAGCTCCGCGAGTTCCAGGACGACAGTTTACCTTCGAAGAGAATCAGCGTTTGCCACCATTTAAGGACCTCATGTTGAAAAACTACAACTGGAAGCATGACGCAGAGGAAGTCAAGTTGCACTGGGACTTTTCTCGAATCAGGTCTCTTGCGCTTCTTATGATACCCGTCTACAAGTTCCTCCAATCGGTTCCTTTTTCCGCCCTCGCTCAACTACAGCACCTTCATGCCGAGGACTACAGCGATCCCATCGAGTTTCGGAATAAGCCGCTTGCAACCGAGCAGTTATACAACCTTATCAAAGACCACATAAGGGAACTGCATACCTTGGACATTGCTTGCATCATTCCAACCTTTTCTATCGACGCACTTCTGGTTCATGCTAAATCTTTGAAGAGCCTGGCCTTTCGGGATCATGCTGAATCCAACAATCCACTCCAACACCGCCGTGTCTTGAACGCCGAAAATCTCACCATCCTTTCAAGGTCTCTGAATCTGCTAGAAACACTCGAGATAGACATTGACCACACAACGTTCCCGGAGGCATGTCTCTTGGTCCTCTGCCAGTTTCCCCGTCTGCACACCCTCGTACTACATACACAAACAGTTATCCGGCCCGTTTCCAATCACCGTCCTGGCCAAGACCCGGATCTCACGAGGGCCTACGACTGTTTTACGATACTTGTTAGGCAACGACCGGGACCAACCAAATGGCAACGCGTTGTGATTAATGTGGGTGGTTGGCGAGAAAGGGTTGTAAATCCTCGGGCTGGCAGAAGACCTAGGATAGGTCATAGGGAGACCTACACCTACTACGGAGCATGTGTTTCTCAGCGTTTTTTTGTCCTGGAAGAGTCAGCGTCCGGCGAAACGGACCTGATCTACGAAGAATTGCCACCAAGGGATGAGGGTTTGACTCACTTCCATGGTAACCTTAGGACCGGGAAAAGTCTTGCGATCAAAGTTGAGGAGGACTCATGACTATACATCTTTACTACGCCCGGAAGCAAACAACTCACGAGGTTCCTAAGGCCTTGCCTTACCCCATAATTTCCTTTGTTTTCCCCCTCCACAACCGAGCAAGAGCTGGGCGAGGACATGAAGGGCCTCGGAATTCTCCTTACACAATGCTGCTTCCTTTTGTCGTCGGTGGTGGCCTTCTTCGCATACGGCTGTGGAATAGAGATATTGAGATACCCAGGTTTTGTGCATGGAGCTCGGGTTGTCTGCCCTACGATGTGGATAAACCTTCCTTCCTTCCTTTTCTTCATATCCGCAATTCTTGAATCAAACAACTTTCATTTTCTCCGGATTGTTCTTCGAGACCCCTTTTACATTACCACTGTGGTTCCGATCTGTTGACCATACGAGATACTGTGAGCCTACAAAATTACGAGCTTTTGCAGGCTCCGGCCATGACTGCCATGTTCTGCGTATGCAGTGTGTAGAATCACCTCGACGTTCGTCGCATATCAAAGCTGAAGTGCTCAAGGCAAGTGTTCAAGCGACCACAAATCCATGAACATTTCAGATTCTCATGTGCAACTAGGGTTGCGAGATCTCAAGAGGACGAACATGACCCCGGCTTTCTATGTATTGCTAGTGTCTCAGTCGTGGATGGGGAAAGATTATGTCAAAGAGTGCCATCATTGGACGTTGGCATGTGACAATGTGACTTGATACATTGCTACAACCCAACTTACCCAAGGTACCTGCGCCAGTTCTTCCTGTCTACAGCGTCCTCCGCAGTGCTAGTCGGGATCTTCCAAGTCTCTTGGATATATTCAGTGCGATAACCTGGAATCCTGGCTTTGCAGTCAACTATTTAACAGCTGATAAGTGTGAACTGTGAAGGACGCCTAACCGGAAGCTAAAGAGGGAGAAACAGAATCTTCGCGAAGACGACAAGGGCCCGTTTTTATGTCCACCAGTCCACCCGGCCAGTCCACCCGACCAGCGCACCCGACCAGCGCACCCGACCAGCGCACCCGTAAACGTTCCCTAGTTCCCTACCCAGTAAGAGATCCCCCCAGTCCCCCAGTCGGCCAGTCCCGAGTCCCACTGATCCCACAAGGACCCCTACCCAGCACGTACGATCTTGACATGCCAATGTGACCAGGGGCGCAGGGGGGGTCTGAGATATTTGTCGTGTCGTGTGCCGGTGCGTGCCGTGCCGTGCCCTTGCCCTACGGACTTCCGGTCTAGACAAGGGGAGGTGTGGGAATAGCTCCACCGACCACCTGTCCACCGAACGGACCACCGAGTAGAGAAGTGGATGTGCGCGACGGGCATGCCCGGCGAATCGAAATCAAACGTTTTCTTTTGAGTTTGGTTCACATGTTGGAGTGGTTGTCTTGGGCAAGCAAGGTCGGGATAGGTATCCATCCGGTGGTGGTCGTCGGTATTTTAGGAAAGTTAATATTCGGTGGTCTATGTATGTTCTTGTCAGCACGCTTTCCTTTCGCCAAGAGGAAGAAATGAAACATCTATCACGCCATGGTTAGGTTATATTAGAAGTTCTTGCTCGTGGATGGGAAGCCGAAGCTGTTTGGAGGCGTCTTGAGTGCCTGGGTACATAGTAGTCACTGGTTACTTACTTGTATTCGTGGGTTCGGGTTGTAAGAACCTCGCTTCGAAGTTCTTCAAGTAGCACGTAGTTACCATAGCCAGTGACTGTGGGAACGAGCAGAGAAATGCATTAGTGTGAACCATCAGAAGCATTTTTGAACCGTCTCCGACATAGTTTTGCTTGCTCTGTGTATTTTCAGCTCTCCTTGTCGCCGGGCAGGATGATTGTGAAGCACCGGGGTGCGGGCGTCTCTCGATCATTGTGCACTACATCCATTCCAAAACGAAATTTGTCAGTTAGAGTAGAGTATCAATAAATTGCAAGTGAAAGAGCGGCGTGCTCATTCGTATAATCGCGCAATACTTGTTCTTGAGGTGGAAGAAGTCAAGTGTTAGTTTTATCGTTGGAAAGCATCGGTCTCGGTACGTATTATCAAGGGACCAATTGTTTGCATGTATACAGTCTCATCCCTTTTCGCACCGTGCATGCAGTAATTTTCCCTTACGCCCCCGGTACCATGACGTTTGTGGTGGTTCCGTGAGTAGCAAAATGTGGAGATTGGAAAATTCTTTGCCATGCAACGGGTACATCCGCCCTTCCGCCCCGAGGACGGGGAGCCCAGCGTTATGTTTTGGATTCACGCTAACTGAACGCTTGGAGCACCACCCTCCGTCCCGTTTCTTACAGGCTGACGAGGGTTGTAATGAAATTTTTGAGCCGATCAAGCACATTGCGATTGCATGGAAACGTCCCCTCTTTCTGGGACGATCGCACACCCCAAGTCCACTGCAGTCGCTCAATCTGACCCGCCGGTTACGGAGATTGTTGACTTTCCGTAAAGGCCCCAAGTATTTTACAGCATGCATTGGTTACATTACATGCTCGCGACATTTTCAACAGTTACAGTACCTCAGTTGCTAGTTGCTTCTGTCTAAAGAAGCATATCCTGGTAAAAGTTGCACTCCACGACTCTAAATGTTCGTAGAATTTTTCCCACGGCTGATTAATGGCAGGTAGTAACGGTCGCCGACGCATCCGGCACAACTCTCGCAGCCACGTTATGTATCCTTCCTCCCCATTGCTTCCCAATCCTATCCCTGGCGAGCCTGGCTCCAAGTACCAACTTAAAGGCATAAAGACAAAAGGTGCGTGGGCGTATTAAGGAGAACAAAGCTTACTAGTTCCCCACTTCGAAACCCTTTTCTTTGCATCGAACCATCCCATGTCGATCGACCCGCGACCGGGTAGGTCTTTGTCCCTTGAGCTTGAATCGGGAGCTTTCCCCTCAGTTCCAGCTGGACACCCCCACCCATCCTGCTGCCAGTAACGAGAGGATGATGGAAGTGGACGGTAAAAAAGAACTCATTGACCGAGCGATGCTTTCGTCAATAAGGGCAGGCAGGCACAATGAGTTTTGCATCGGATGCTCCCGTCTATGTGCATAGTTGCGGGCAGACGGGAAGGAAGCGGAAAGGAAGCGGAAAGGAAGCGGAAAGGAAGCGGAAGGGAACTCTCGGCCGTTGTCCACCCACCAAGCGGCAGACCCACAGTCGGGAGGGGCCACGGGACCGAGCCGCGCCAGGCAGACAGGATTCAGTCCGCGCGCGCCTCCCTAGGAACTTGGCCTGTAGCCAAAGATGGCAATACTTAATCAGACAAACATCTTAGCTGTAGGTAGTATATTTGTGGAAACGGGCTGGTCGAACTGATTGATGGTGGTGATCATGAGAAACGTCCAACTGCGTCATGTCAGCTGCCAACCTAGCCGCCAAGGTACCTAGCAAACATCAACGACGACATACAGAACAAGAACACTTCCCTACAACCTCGAACCTCAACTCAACACATAATAAACAATGTTGTCACTTATCATCTTCCTTCTCACGTACTACCAAGTAGGTAGTCACCCCGTTTATTTCGTCACACCAACCTGATCTGACCGCCACTTACTCGCGGAGTTGCAGAAGTAGTGGCCCAAGGGGGTCGACTAGAGGCAGGTATCCGTCATTCCGTCCACAGACGGTACAGAACCCGTGTCAGTGTGCAGGATCTTGTAAGGGTTTAACCGCTTACCGTATCAGAGATTCAGGGGTTCCGGGGTTAGGTAGGGTATGATGGAAACTGTTTTGCGTGTGTGGTCACCCGGCACTGGGCGGGCAGGTGGACAGCTACATATCCTGAACAAAGTTTGTTCATGCCATCCAGGTACCGTACAGAGAGGGAAGAAAGGGGGGGCTGGAGATCCCCGAGCAGGGGGCGGCACCTGGGGGGGGGCACTGGGGTGCATAAAGGTTTGCAATGGCTAGGAAGCTTAGAGAACATTCACTACAAACTACCTTGATGGTGGAATTCACCAAGATGGGTAAGTAGGAAGCATATCTGAAGTGCGGTGGAAGTGAAGCACAGCATTTGGATAGGCAAGACGAGAAAGGAAGACGGATGCACAAGATTATGCCCTCCAAGGAGTGCACCACATACATACTCGTCGTGTCGTGTATCGTGGAAGGAAGGGGTAGGGGAGTGAGGGTTTGCGTTCTGCCCGTGGACGGTTCCGTAAACAAGAGCATAGTCTCAAATAGGGCATTCCTTCCTCTCTGGAGAGGAGGGAAACAGTGAGGAGTGGAAGCAGTGTTACCATCACACTCCCGGTTCTTATATGACTGAAGGCAGAGTCAGAGGAGAGTCTTTTCTCATGAGCTTGGGTATAATTGTTGGTACTCAAAGCATCTAGCAGCTTGCCTGTTCGTTTGTCTAAGACAGACAGTACCGAAACGGACACATACGGTTGCTCGCATGCGTTTATAGTAATACGAGGAACTTTTGCGGCCCATTGGTCGCCACATATATAGCTTGGTCGGAGTTACTGGTGAGCTGGTGTGAACGGGATGTTGGCGCGCAAGAAGGCCTTTTGTGTGATATTACCTAGGCTGCATCTCTACGACTTGAAAGTTGAAAGTGGTGCTGATGATGATGATGACGATGGCATATGTCTCATGAAGATCTAGCACTGACCCGTAATCCTACTCTTCCCTTCTTCAATTAGCTCGACATATGTTTACCCAGAAGCATGGAACACAAGCCGATCTCCACTTGGGCGAGCCATTCAAAGACCTGTAGAACATGACCGACTCACGAGGCAGGAGTAGACGACGTGCCTTCAACGCTAAATTTCAGACTTATAGATAATAGCTCAAAGGCGCTGAGGATGCGATTGCAGTAAAGAAATAACTGATAAAACTGCCTCCCACCGAAAAGCATGCTGCCGACCATGAAATGGTGTACCCGTTGCGCGCCATTACAAAAAAAAAATCGAGTACAAAACGTGTAATATACGAGACAAACGACGAGAGCCACCTAACACCCATTTTAGCCTTGAGGCAGCCGGATCTTTTCAAGTACAAATCCACCCTCCCTCTGCTTATGGCGCTTTGTTCC